ATTCAGGGATTCTACTTTCATATTGACCGAAACTGGTTATTATGGTCGTAAAAAAAACTATACGCGAGATGGCATGTTAATTGAAACAGGAATTCAGTGCAATAAATTATATCTTTTATCATAAACAGGGTCCACAAATTTGAGTTTTTTTATCATAAACAGGGTACCCCTTTAAGAATTTCAGTGGAACACCCCTACCCAAATTCTGGTGGAGTACCCCCCCGGGGGACAGTCAAGGGTCAAGCCTTTTTATTTTGACCAAAGCTATCTTCTTGTTGGCTTTATGAGAGGTTCATGGATTTCTAAGTGAGTGAAGGCAGGAGAGCTACAACCATTCTTTAAGAGTTTACTGTAAATCCCCAGCTGTAACCCCAATAAAAAGGTGCCTTCCCTTACCGAGATAAATACATTACATATATAGATATTTCAAAAATGGTTCAAGGGGCAAATGACATTTGGAGATGGTAATTGATGATTGCATGAATGAAATGTTCTGTGGATTTTATTCATATTCATTTCTTTAAATTATACCTAAACAATGCCTGTACCATTCACCTAAGACCTTAGATGATGAGTAGACGCAGTTGTTATTGATTCAGTGATAGTGCAATCACAGTTCCTTTCAGTTGCAATTATTGCCAATCACTTATTGCCAATTTTGCCCCTTCAACCTTAAAATATAAATGCTGTATACATTATACATAACTATATTTTATGCATGCATCAAAAGTTAAATACTCTAGCGTAAAAACAATGGAATTATTTTAGAGTGTATATAGCAGGGTTCTTCCTAACCGTAATGAGATTAAGCTTATGCAAGGCCGTAGGTGTTTGATCATTCAGTAACAAGCTACTTGCACCCTAAATTGACCTGAAAAGGATTCCCTTTGCATTCTTCCACTTTCCCACTTACAACAAGGAGCCCAGAGATAGGAGAGTAGAAGGCCTAGTAGACTGAAGACCTTATTTCAGTGAAGTTTAAAGAAGCAGTTCTGGAACATGTGCCCCTCTACCACTTCACACAAAAACAGATGAAAAGTATTGGAAAAATAGACTTTTGCAGAACGTTTTTCATATCATAACAAAAYTAAACCTAATTTATTTATTAATTTATTCTCAAAATATTGTTCACTTCCAAAGCTCACCTCCTAAATTTCATAKTATTGCCAACATCTTTTAAGAATAATCTTGTCAGTTTGAAAACCCTTTATAAACTGTAAATAGCGGGACTATTGGTACAACTGAAATAAATTTATGTATTATCAATAAATTGCCGTGTTCATGTTCATGTTTTGCAATTACAAATTGTGTAGGTGTAACATGTTCAATGATGATGGTGATGGGGGTGTGGTGATGATGATGATGATGATGATGGTAGTGATGATGGTGGTGATAATGATTATGATGATGATTGTGGTGATAATAATAATAACTTTATTTACGTGTCGAAATTTTCTAGTTTACAATAAATTGTGAACTAATAGAGGACACCTATCTTCCTTTCTATACATTATAAAACTCCCTCCCATCCCATCTGCCCTTCATATGATGGTGAAGATGATGGTGGTGGTGGTGATGATGATGATGACGGTATGGGTGATGATGATGGTGGTGGTGGAGATGATGATTGTGGTGATGGTGATGGTGTTGTTGAATATGATGGTTGTGTGGTGATGATGGTGGTGGTGATGATGATTGTGAAGATGATGATAATGATGGTGGTGGTGGAGATGATGATAATTGTGGTGGTGATGGTGAAGATCACGATGATTGCACTATAAAGAAATAATATTTCCCATTCACCATTTGGGGGGTACATATCTGCGGTTCAAAATCACCAAAATAATTAAGAGGAAGATCCAGTGTTCATTCCAATCATGAACTACACGTCATGCATACGTAATAGAGCCGTCCTCGTACGAGTGGTAAACGATACAAGAAATTCATAATCATGTATTGTACTGTCGTCGTAACGTATCTTACCATGACTACTACGCGCGGATTGGTTGAATTACTGATGCACAATAGGAAGCCATACCATTTCAATGTTACGGCATGCCRCACTGCAAGTACAAATCATAATTTCAATCCATTTTATTCTACTGAGCAAATGAACATGACCGGCTTCCATGGAACCTATGGAACCATCCCAGGATCCACCACGCCACTGGGCATGTTATAGACGTTCGGAGCAGGGGCGTGTCCAGGGGGGTCACAGGGTG